TCTCCTTCAGTCTCCTTCTTTTCTTTTGAGACAGTGTTTCTGTGTAGCCCTGCCTGTACTGGAATTTGCTCTGTAGACCAGGCTGGCCTTGAACTCTGAGATTCACCTACCTCTGCCTTCTGAGTGCTGGTATTAAAGTCTTGGGCCACCACTCTTAAAATCAATCTCTCTTTCTCTTTCCCTCCTGCACCCCTCCCTCCATCCCTCCCTCCCTCCCTCTGTCTCTGTCTCTCTTTCTCTCTGTCTTATTTTTAAGTTTTGAGGTGAAGGTCTCACTATGTTGACCAAGCTGGTCTTAAACTCTCAGGTTTAAGTGATCCTTCCTTAGCATTCCATGCTGCTCAACTGCATTTGGATGTGTGCCACATGGCCAACTAATCTTTTAAAAATAAAGATCAGAGCAGAAATTAACAGAGGACAGAAAAATAATGGAGAAAGGTCAACAAAACTGTAAGTTGTCTTTTTGAGAAGAATAACAAACTGGGCAGACTGGTGAAGAATCAAATGGCTGGTGGGACGTTGTGAGTGCAGAGGCCAGTGCCACCAAGCCTGACAGTCTGACTCCTGGTGGAAGGAGAAAGCGTTTCCCTGGTTTGTCCTCTGGCCTCACACACTCACTCAACACCCCCCCTACACACACACACACACAGAATACATGCTAAAAAGAATTTTAAAGGAGGTTAGAATGATAGCTCAGAGATTGAGAGCACTGGCTGCCTCTGCAGTGGCCTGGCTTGGGATCCTAGCACTCATGTGTTCACAGCCTTCTGTAACTCCTGTTCCAGGGAATCCCATATCCTCTTTGACCTCTGCAGGCACCAAATATGTATATGGTACATTACGTACATGGAAGCAAAAATACTCATATGCATAAACAAGTCTAAAAACACCAAACCAAACCAAAAACAAAACAAAAAACAAAACAAAACAAACAAACAAACAAACAAAAAGACCCAGAAGAATCAAATTACCAAAAGGAGGGAGAAAACAAAGGTTATATAGATTACTGGAACACTGGTAATACTTATTTGCCCAGTTAGCCTTCCCATTGATGATTACTCCAGGGTCAAGCATTCTCCCAGTTGCCTGATTCACAGCTGAGGCCACTGGCTGTCATCTGAGCCTTGCCTAGCAGCCTAGGGTGTTAAGACATGGGTCCCTGGGTCAGAGACATGTGGGACACCATGTTTTCTCTGATCTCTCTTAAATTTTGTTAAGTCCTACCAGAACATAAGGGGAAAAAAACATAGAAAATCCATCCTACCACCACCCCACCCCCAAAAGAAGAAACAGAAACTAATAACTCATCTAAAAACTGTGGACTCTTGGACAAACACAACACTGTCCAAAACTGACAGGAAGGATGAGGAGTCTTGGCTGTCCTGCTCATCCCCTGCCTGTTCCATCAACACAGTTGACTCAGGGCTGTGGCTTTCTGAGTCTTCAGCCCCACCCTCCACACTGCAGGTTGGTTGTCTCATTTCTTTGGCTTACTCTGCAGGGCTGTTCCCCTCATCTCTCTTGCGGGAAATCTGTCTACATATGTTGGCAGGGGCTGTGACCGTGTTAGCTTCTTGTGCTCAGTTCCCTTAAATATTGCCCAACACCAAAATTTGAGGGAGTTGCTAGCCAGTCCAACAAATATTTATAGAGAATCTGTTACGTGCAAACTGCTATGTTAGGGAGCTCAGATACAGGGTAAAATCTCTTGTAATCAAGGCAGGTGATGGTCTAAGGTTAAGGATAGAAATAAAATACTTTGAGTCTCAGCAAGATGGCTCAGAAGGTAAAGGCACTGATGCCAAGCCTGACAACCAGAGTTCAGTCCCTGAGACCTACATGATGGAAAGAGAACCAACTCCCTGCAAATTGTCCTCTGACCTCCATACACGTCATGGTGCCCACGTGCATACAAACACATACACACACACACACAATCAATAATTAGGCAGATAAGTGTAGTTTAAAAAGCTAGTATTAGAAATGAAATGCTTTGAAGGTAAAAAAAAAATCCAAGTTCCATAAATCATGTTAATTCTATAGATTGCAAGTCAATAGTCACAAAGTCAAGTTTAGTGGATTTGTCACAGGCCTTGAAGTCACAGAGATGCGACTGCTTTTGCTTCGTGAGTGCAGGAATGAAAGGCACGAGTCACCATGTCTGGACCTTTGTGTTTTGATCTTGGAAATTGAACCCAAAGCCTGAAGCATGCTAGGTAAATGTTCTGTACTCCGAGACCCTATTTTAAGAAAAAAAATTGGTTGGTATATTATTTATACTGGAGTTGTGGCATTATATTACTTTATTTTCCCCTTTATTTTAATTTTACATATGCGAATGATTTGCCTGCATGCCTGGAAGTGCACCATGTGTGCACAATGCCCTTGGAGACCAGAAGAGGTCAGATCCCCCTGGAACTGGAGTTACAGAGGGTTGTGAGACATCACGTACATCACTTTTTTAAAAAATAAGGGTTTCCAAAATGTCTGAAAGAGTAGATCAAATGCACTTCAGAACAATCAATAAACTTACTGAGAGGAAGATAAGTGGAAAGGGGAGGAGGGGGGAAAGCAAGTGGTGGGAAATCCAGGCTCCAGATGTCACTATGTATGGTGATCATCACTGTCATGGACAAGGTAGGACCTAGTCAGCCTGTGTCATCAGGATGTGCCTCCTGAAGAAATGCCCATGGGGGTGGATGCAGAGACTTAGGACGTTTTGATTTTGAGCTATGTTAATGATTAATTGAATTCCTCTTGTGTATAGCTTATCAGCTTGAGATAGCTTATCAACTCTGGGTGCCCCGGTGGACTTTGGCAGTTCCACAAACAGGTGACAGTACCACACTAGGTCCTGTGGTGGGGTGGCCCATCACTCCTTTTTCCCACTCGTGCTTTTGTTTGTTTGTTTATTTGTTTTGAGACAGGGTCTCTTTTAACCCAGGTTGGGCTTACACGCACTGTGAAGCTGAACTGGCCTCGAACCCTTGCTCCTCTTACTTCACCACCCAAGTGCTAGCATTGGAGACATGGGCCATCATGCCTAGCTCCCCACTATGCCCTCTGAGCAGCCTTTGACAACTGCTTAATGCAACAAGCTTTAGTAGGACTGACATCCTGTCTGGAATCCTAGGGGATGTGTGTTTATGAACTTCATCCTCTTCAGAGGTCTGTGTTTTTGGAATATCAGATACCTTATCTCTAGGTGGGCTTCTTATTCTTTGTATATACTCCTTCTAGATGGGGAACTGACCTTTCCTGACAGTTCACTGCACTTTGGAGTCTTAAGTAGATGACATAATGTCTGAAAAACACTGTAACTTTAACCAAGGCAAATATTCAGTGTTATTACAGAGTTGAAGGGGCTCTGGAGGAAATTCTGCAAGAGCTATCATTACCTCAGAATTACTCAGGAAGTAAATGAAAGGACCATCACAGGGTTTCCCCCTTACTCATTGGAGTACTGTAATTACAGAGTAAAGATAATTGAATTTTAGAAAAACAGAGTGGCCAGAAGAATCTGACTGGCCTCAGAACTTTTAAATCTTTTAAACTTAAGACCTTGCATGTGCTAGGCAAGACATTAGTTAATTTACAAAAAGGGTCCTAGGTAGCTCAGGCATGGCCTCAAACTCATTATGGGGCCCAAGGCAGACTTTAAACTTGTGATCCTTGTCTCCACTTCCCAAGTGGTGAATTACAAGTAAGCATTACCAGACCTGGTTTTGCTGGCCTCGAACTCATGGCTTCAAGCAGGCCTAAGCATACACCGAACCAACATGTACCCAGTCCCCCTTTTACCTGTTGAGAAAGGACCTCACTAAATTGTCTCAGCTAGCCTTGAACTTGAGATCCTTCTGCCTCTAGAGTAGCTGAGATTATAGGTCTGCACCATCAGGACTGGCTGTTATCTCCCCAACCCCCAACTCCTAACCCCACACTTTGGGGCTCAAGAGCAAGCTGCCATTGAGCTGAGTCCTTCCTGCCACCTCTTCTAGGAACCTTGAGTTCCTTTCCTATCACTTCATTCTTGAGAGAACTTTCCCCAACACTTGGACGTCATCTCTCTACTGAACAAATCTTAGAGATACTACATCCAGTTGGACACCTTCACTGTGCTAGAATAGAAACCCTGGTTCCAGTGCTATTTGAGGTCCTTCCAAGGGGTCCTCCCTGCCCCAGATGACTGCAGGTTAAACTATAGGAAATAATCCTAATAATATCCAGCTGAATAGGACAATAGGAGTTTAGTGGGTGGTTTATTTTTCTCAAGAATTTGCATATCCGAGGCTCGTTATCCAACACAATAGGCCCTTCTACAGCGGAAGAGACTCCCGCCCAAGACAAACAAAACCTAAGGCTAGACCTGGCTCCTTAGGAATATGATTACTGTGAGAAGGTGAAAGAAATCTGAAAAATGAATATAATCTTTTTTTTTTTTTTGGATCGTTACAAGGTATTTTGATTCTTTTGGCTGGCTAGGGCAGGCAAAAGAAACGCAGTCTATGAGACACTCCATCCTGCTTACAGAAAGAACATTTTAGAATTGGAGAAAACAGAAAAGCCTCTTAGATTCAGCAACAGTGTTAAAAACACAAATGCCTACCAAGAGAGGGTCACTGTCCCTCAGCAGTGACAAGGATGGAGGTCAGGCTATGAGAGTTTCCCACAAAGGGGCTTGGAAGGACAGATGGGAGGTTTCCAGAGAATAGCGGAGCCTGCTGGGCCTCCGTGAGTCAAGGATGGAATTCAAGAGGAAGGGTGGATGAAGCTGAGAGAGCTAGGATGCGAGCCCGGGATGCACAACGCTGGAGGACCAGGTTGGCCAGGGTAACTGGACGCTGCTAGCTGGCGGCCCCACGTGGCAGGCCCGGGGGAGCGGGGCGGGGCAGCAGGCGGGGGCGGGCCCAGCGGTGACGCGCGGGGTATATGGCCGGGCATGCGCACGCGGCGGGGGCCGGACGTAGAGAGGGGGCGCGTGGCTGTCGGCGAGGACGCACCCACTCAGTAGCTGTGTCGCCGGCTGCCTGGGGGCCTGGATAGTGAGGCTGCGTGGGCCAGACTGCCGGCTGGAGGACTTCAGGTGAGGACCGACTGGGCGCACGCAGGATGAGAACTCGCGCGCCTCCGGGTTAGGGAGACGCCGAGTGGGGGTTGGAGACACCGGCACGCCGAGGACCCAGAGTCTGTCGGGAGGCCGCACACTCCCTGAGCCCAGTCCTGGTAGCACCTGATCGCTGTGCCACGGTGGCGAGGGGAAGGAGGTCATAGAGCTGTCCCTTCAGCTGCAGGGCCCGGGATGTGTGAGCCAGAGAAGGACGCCAGGGAGGTCGGTAGCTGCGCGGAAAGGCTGAGATGAGCTTTCTAGAGCTCCGGGACACAGAGGAAGCGGAGTAGATGGGTAGATCAGATGCTCTGCGGTGGCGGCTGCTCGGACGGGGCTCTGGTGTCTGGATCTTGCATCCCAGGAACCAATGTGTCCTCATCCCTGCCCCACGGCAGGCCACCCTCCGGCTGAAAAGTGATGCCCGATTCTTCTGTATGGGTTGGGCAGGAGTGGAGAACTGCAAGGGTGACACCGCGCTGAATTCTCTCTTGACTAACGGCAGCAATGACTCTTGAACTCTCTTAGGTTGGAACTGACCAAATTAGGCGGTCTGGTTACCGGCTGCTCCCTCTTGGAGTTTTAAAGCTATAGCTAAAGTAGCTATCCAGATTCACCTTGAGATCCTGAGGTGGATTCTGACCAGGAAAATTGCCTCTTTGGGATTGTGGGTTCAGCTTTAAGAATCTTCTATCTCCCCGGGCTTAGATTCTAAACTGATCGGCCAGTCCAAGTAGTTAGTGGCTTGTGTGTTCAAGAGGACTCTGAGCTTGGTTTGGCGAGGGGCAGAGTGCTTTCCTGTGGCCTAAATGGAAGAGTAGGGGCAGGAGCATCTTTGGCAGACCCCTCTTCTTGAAGTAATCTGGATCTGGAATTGGAGCATTAGCCCTGTTTACCCAGCTAGCCCCTGGTCATTGGGATAGACATATTTGCTGGGGGGTGTTGATAGAAACCGGCCCCAGAGTGACTATCTGGTCACTGTTCTGGTTCAGGTTAGTACTGAGGCCAGCCTGAATTGTTTGTCCAAAATATGTACAATTCCATAATCCTTACCTATTGAAACAAATCTTAAACACTGAGGGGTTCCAACATGCCCCCTTGGCCAAACAGCCAGAGGTATATCCAGAATCACAACTTTCAACAACTAGAATACTAGAATGAAAAGCTATATAGTTCCCTTTCTATTGGTGACTCAGTTGAGCTCTTTGCTAGTGGTTCAAAGTCAGGAGGCCATATATGGGTCCTCTTTGTGTGACTGTTTTATCAGTGTAACTAGACACTGAACTGACCCAGGATATGTGTTCTTCCAGAAGGACCATGGCGGAACACTTCTTGCTGCTACACCTGGCATTTTGTTGCTCACCTGGACAGTGCAGAGGCAGATATAGGGATTAAAGAACCCAGAAACTTGCTAAGCAACCGACTGACTTGAGAAGTAACAGAGCCTATGTAACTGGCCTTTCATGTAGACAAGAGGAGAGGAGGAGAATTAGAGGCCCCTGGAGATCTCGAGTTCTGTTCCAAACCCAGGGTTGATGCAGAAGGCCCAGGTCTCTTGTACAGTGCTTGGTTTGTGCCCCTCAATGGCCACTGTGCTGGGTGCAGGCAGAAGGCTTGGTCTGCCTTTCAGGCAGACAGTGGCAAGTGGGGAATTAAGTAACAACACAAGAGTCTCCTTGCTGTTTGGAGTTGTTCAGAGAAGGGAGCTCTGTTTGAGGTAAGGTACATCGGCAGAGAACTCAGGGTTGGAGCTAGATGTCCAAATCCCAGCCCTATCACTCTCCAATAGCGAGTCTGTTCTCAGTGACTGTTGGAACGTTGTGGTCATGTCTGGAATGTGGCTGACGCCTCAGTAGTGCCACCATTTTTGTGGGTTAGACTGAGAGGTTTAGAGTACCGGCTGCTCAAGTAGGTTGGGTTGTAAGGACGGTCAGAACCCAGACATAAGGTAGATTGTCTCCTCCTTAGCAGGGTATAAAGTGTCCCTTGTCCTCCTGCAAGAATGCCTTTCTGTGACCGACCAGCGAATAGCTCACAGACCCACTGGGCAATCTTAGAGAAGATGGGTGTTTTTCTGCTTGAGTCTGGTTCTTCTGAGACTGTTCCTCCTCAAGGCCTAGTGATGGCCAGGAAGGACCCCATCTCTCCATCCCCCAGCCCCACCTGTCTGTGTAGGATACTTGTCACTCACAGGATGGGTCCTGGTTTCAAAGACTTCCTACTTCCTTCCTCTTTTCTTCCCTGCACCCCACATGTGTTCTTCCCCACACCCCACAACCCTACCAGTTGTATTCTCTTTGTTCCAGTTTAATACCCAAAGAAAGTAACACCTGCCATTTTGCAGAACTACAGGCTGCCTTGTTGTCTGGAGTGACTTTTAAAAATAAAAGATCCTGGATCCAGAGAGGTTAATTGGTGTCCTCAAGTCACATTGCTTGCTAATGACAGATTTGTTGGGGAATACCCGAGAAGTCTCCCCTACCCCACTTTTGGTGAATTTACTGATAGTCCTGTATTTTTCTTGGCACACTGGGAAGAGGATCAGTTGTTGCTCAGCACTGCTGGGGTAGTTTGTCCCTTTCATTTTCTTGCAGCCTCTGGAGGAAAGAGAGGGTTCAAAATGAACAAGGAAGGAGGAAAGGGTCATGCTATCTCCCCCCCCCCTTAAAGTTTAGGGCCTTCTCTGACTTCCAGGCTGGCGGCTGTCAGAATGCCAGGAGATAAGAAGTCCAGAGTCTGCTAACTCAGGACTGTTGCCAGCCAGGGCCTCATGCTTGTCCATCACAAGGACTCCAAACCCCAACTGCCATGGAGCCTCCAGAGTGGGCCCTTAGTTCATCCAGACCAGCTAGGGAAGCAGAGCCCCCTACTGGACCTTCCAATTCTATATCAGACCAGAAGGCCTGGCAGGTATGGAATTCACCTGTCAGGGAAGCCCCCATGCCTAACCGTGGCAACCAGAGCTCTTCAGACCCTCTTAATTTTCTGCCAGAGCAGATCCAGGAAAGCCTACAGTTTGGTGGAATAAAGTAATGCTCCTAAATTTATTATGGTTGACCACTAGGACATCCAATTTTCATATAAGAAGATCCATTAAAAGTTGTCAATTAAGGGGTGAGGGGTTTTAGTCAGTATAGCTCAGTGTGGAGTGCTTTTGTTATCTACTTAGTTCATAAGAAGATGAGGGAGGAGGGAGTGTTGCTCAGTGGTAGGACACTTGCCTAGCCTGTACAAGGTCCTGGGTTTCATCCCTTGCTACTGCAGGGTTTGTTTGTTTGTTGTGTTTTTAAATTACATGATTCCTTTGTATGCATGTGTATGTCTGCGGCCACATGTGCTTTGTACACAAGTGAAGGCCACAGGACAACCTACTCAGTCATCTCACTGGTTCAATAGAGAGAGAGTTTTAGGACTTTATTTTCTCCTAAAGGCTTGAATGTGTTACTTTCAAAAGGGGAGTAATTGGGGTGCTGTGGGATGGCTTAGTGGATAAATGTGCTGTCGGGCTCAACGTCGGAATTGGAGCCCCAGGACCCACATAGTGGAAGGAGAGGGCCAACTCCCCAAAATTGTCCTTTGACTTGCCCTTGTGTGAGTACAAGCTCACAAATAAATGTAAAAAGAGAATTTTAAAAACCCCTCTGTGTGTTTGTAACTGTTTAGCTTTACCTTCTCCCATTACGCTAGGCTAACGCTTTTGCCTCTGACGACATCATGACCACTCTGGGTTTAGTCCTCTGACTAGACTTGGGAAATGTCTATGAAAATCCCAGCTCTTTATCATCCGTGCTCCCTTGTTTGTGGTGCTGGCGTCAGAGCCTAGGGGCTCGTGTACTCTGGGCCGTGTTCTGGTGTTCTGCCCGTGAGTTGCATTTCCAGCCCTCTTTATTTTCTTCGTGAAATCGTTTTCACTGGGCTCTATGTGTAGTCATGTGGCTCAAAGATCAGAACAGTCAAAAATGAAAGCATTCCTTGTACCATTCTCCTGCAGTCCCGTTTTAAAGTAAATGTTCTTGGGCGGTGTTTCAGACCTAGCCTCCAAGGTCCTAGTGACTGTGGTAGTACCTTGCTATTCAGGCACCTGTGTTAGCGGATGTTACTCTGTTACAGCTGTGTAGTATTCTATAGTTAAAGTGCTGTTACTCTGTTGCGGCTGTGAAGTATTCCGTAGTAAAAGTGCTGTCTGTCATCTTTAACATCTGTGTTAACCCTGGGCATTCATCATTTTCCCATTACACATGGGGATGCAATGAATAACTTTGCACACGAGCGGCACTCCCAAAGCATGTAGAATAAGTTTTGTGAAGTGGAATTCCTACACAAATGGTTAAATACCGCCTTTGGAAAAGATTAGATGTAGCCATCTAGTTAGCGTTCATTCAAACAAACAAACAAACAAATAACATTTACAAACTGTATTTAGAATCTTATTCCTTTTAGGTGACCCCTAAATTGAATTAGCAATTTTCTGGTTTTACTTTTGTTACCTGTATAGGTAATTCATTTTCATGCTTTAAAATTTTTAATGTTATGTGTATGAACGGGGTTTTTCCTGCATGGATGTCTGTGCACCACCTTCATGCAGTGCTCACAGAGACCAGAAGAGGGTGTAGGGTTCCCCTAGAACTGGATTTACAGATGGTTGGGTGCCACACGTGTAGGCTTGTTGGCTATCATATCATCTCTGGTTAGGCTTCACTTTATTTACTTATTTTGAAGGTTTGTTTGTTTGTTTTTAATTTATGAGTGTACTTGTGTAAGAGTAGGTGGAGGCCAGAGGAGGGCATCAGCTTCTCTGAAGCTTGAGTTACAGGTCTTTTCTTTTCTCTTCTTTTCCTTCTGAGGCATGGCCTCAACTCATGCCTAGAATTTATATGTCGCCTGGACTGACTTTGAACTTACAGTGATCCTCCTAAGTGCTGGGATTACAGGTGAGCCACCACACCCAGCTGTTATTTTAAATTTACGATACTTACTTT